GCTCTGTTGCCAGTCACGTGCAGTAAAAAGTACTTGTTGCCCTGTAAATTGAGCTTGTGGTAATGGGTGAGAGGGGGCGATTGGGCCAACTTTCGTAGTCGGTGTGCTATATTGGACCGGAAATTGACCTGCAATAGTTGACTGCATTGCCTGCGGATGATTACTCATGGCCATAGGCGGGGAATTGGTATTGACCGTGGGTGGCCCAATAGAGAATGCCATGTCCCATTGGCTTCATTGAAATTAGGTGTGTGTTAGTGATAATTGCGACAGATGAGATAAACCGGTAAGGGATTCACTCTTACTTGATGATACGAGTGGGATCCCAACTACTCTCATCGACCAAAGGCGCATCTATACTGTGGCTCGAAATCGACTGGGACGGGATTAATCCCAACGGCTGAAGCTGAGATGAATCCGACTTTGACACCTCAGTAACAGTAGACACTGGAGGGGTAATTTGATATGCTGCATGACCCACTCTATTCGGAAAATTGGAGGATTGATTCAGTTGAGTACCGTAGCTCGGATCGAGCGGTGGGCTTGGGTGGTATGGCTCGGATGGGCTGCCATACGGGAAGGTTGCCTTCAGTTCGAATGGTCGATGGACATCAGCAGAAAATGCGAAACGCAATGAATCTATTTGTGCTTGTAATTCTGGCATGGGCCAAGCAGTCGAGCATCGCTCAAGGATCCTCATGTGTCGAGTGAAATACTCCCTGGCGTCTGTATGGAAATTAGGATCTGGTGATGTTATAGCGACCTAGAGAACGTTTAGCGATAGCCCCAGGGATTGAGAAAAGAGTGTTGTGACTCACAAGGTGTAGCATTGTGCAGGTAAGGACAGTGTAGATTGTGAAATTTATGCCCCGTTGCATGAAAAGAAGGCCAGATAGGCCAAAGCGATTCAGAATGGCTTCCTGGAGTCTACATAAGTACTTGGCAGAAGAATAACACAATGCCATGTGCATCTTCCAGCCTCCCCCGGCAGTGAAAGATTTTGACGCGAGTAGCTGAGGCCGATGTAGCAGAATAATCCCAAGATGGCAATGGGAATGCATGTTCCCAACGAAATGGGAGGGAATCCAAGGAGGTGAGCCATCAGGCGGATAATTCACTTGTAGATCAGGAGGCAGACTCTGAAGCCAGTCAGTGAACAAAGGGTTCTTCTCGACAAATTTAGGGTTCGCTCCCCAGTCTTTTTGCTTCTTGATCTTGTGGTATATGTCCGCAATGATGCGAATATGGGATGCGTTCTTAACAAAATACGCATACTGCCTAGATCGAGCAATCTCAAATTCATCAAGACCCCTGATATCCAGTGTCGGACTCATGTTCACAGTGCTCGGGTCGACACCATAATCCGAGCGGCCTGGCAATGTCAGTATCCTACGAACCACGAAAGACTTAACGACATACCCTGAGGAGCACCGATCATGACCTCGACGACTAGGAGGGCTTGCCACACCCTTGTTTGCACCAAGCACTCGACAGGATTCAAATCACAGCGTCGTTCCTCCACATGAATGTTATTATGCTCATGTATATCCAAATCTTTGGCCATCGAGACAATAGTCTTGACTGTTTGCCATGAGCGGTAGTAATAGCCTTTTTTGGGCCGTGATTCTCGAGCCTTGAGAAGTAAGAGTAATGCCTGAATTGTGCTCAGCCGCGGCTCATCCATGAAGCTGGATTCGTGTCCTGGAATAAGAGGTTGGTATTAGAACAAGAGGATCCTTGACAGGCTGCAGAGAGGGGCTACACTGGCTCACTATTTGCTAACGCTAGCCATTGGGCTCCCTGAGCTGGATCATCCGACAACCTTCCAGCGCATGCAAACATGGCCTCGAGTAACAACGGTGAGATTGAGCTCCGTTCATGCTGCCACTGGAAGTACAGATGGGACCTATGAACAACCGGAACATAAGGGTGTATGTCATCGAAGTAGATCTTGAGATATTTCATGACCTCATCATCTGACGGCATAAGCTCAGGTGGAATACGTATGGTGGAACCGGCACCAGTACTGAGAGGAGGGAGCTTCTCGTCCGCATCATCCTGAGTTGGGATTTCTGGCTCGGCTCTCTCCTTTCTTTGCTGTCTGATGTATGGCGCTGCGTGGCCGTAAGCTACCGGTTGTAACAGTTGCTAGGCTGTATAATGCTTACCAATGCCGGTCTCATCTATCCTGAGCTCGCCGAGAACTTCACTCAGATTCTCCGCAGTTGACGGGTCATGTTCGCTAAAAACGTCCCTTTCCGTAGCGCCTAGCGTCTGCGCATGGCCGCCTGTGAAGCTTTGTGGTTGCTGATAGGAGTCATGCGATACAGGCACATGCGACGACCGTAGGTCGTAAGCGGCCGACTGACTAGGAGTGGGCTGCGCAAATTGTGTATAGACACCGAGTTCATCGTGATAAGAATTCATGTGCCCCGCAGGATGTTGTCCGCTATCTCTGAAGGCTTGCGATACTGCAAACGAGGAAACCGAAGATTCTGGTGCATTAGACGTTGATAGAGAACCTCCGGAGTTTGGCTCGATACCGTGCCCAGCAAAATATTCGTTGTCTTGCCCAATCGTGGGGGGGACGCATACAAGTTTCAAGCGGGTACATGCTGAGCATGGCCATGTATTGGTCGTGGCAGCATCACATTTGATTTTCCGCTTCCTACAACCATTGCAGGCTCGCATGACTATTGATATAGTGTTTAGTCTCAATTGGCTGCGAGGTTTGAAGAAAATAGCTTCACAGCGTACCTTTGAGTCTTTTATGCCGATTATGTTCATCGACAAAGACATAATCTGCATACAAGCCATCAACAACTTGAAAAAGCAAATGACTAAGATGTGCGAGGGTGGATGAGGTGGCAATGACTTCAAAATGTGCAATGCGGAGGAAACCTACTTTTTTGCCCTTCTCTTGGGGCACCAACGGGTGTTGCGAATGAATAGCTCTGCATATTGGCGCACTTGAAAAAGTCACTAAAGCAGCTCGGAATGAAGCCAAGGCCAGCTCGTGAACGGCATATAACGGGCGCTGCTGCCAACTATTTTCGGAGGATGTCCGTAAGGCCTGCCTTGTCCGGATGACTCGAAATGTATTAGACAATGCGGCCGACGGAGAGCGCCTGAGACAGAACTGCAGGGGAAGCAAAGCGAAACTGATCGCTTTGCCTGACACTGAAAATATTGCGATCAAAGCAGCCCCTTTTATGGCTGTGAATTATATGCCATGGAAGAGCCGTGTCACTAAAGCTGAGCGGGAAGTAGTATCTCTATATCGAAGGCTGCTTGCTGGTGAAGACGATGCACTCCACGGATTCGATCATGCATACGCTCGAACATGCAAGATTATAGGTGCAATAATGAGGTATTCAAAAAGCTCTTGTTGTTTCGCAGTATAGACTGACCCGGACAAATGTTGCAAGTCGGCACCAGGATGTCACAGCGTAAGTACGGACCCAAAGATGAATCGAAATCCGGACAAATATGAATGGAAGTCAGACAAGTAATTCGCAGCCCAGAGATATTTCGAGTGAATAGAAAGAAGCTGCATCCGTGAACTATGAGATGTCAGTTTTATTTTGAGACATGCGCCGCTCGGTAAAGAACATGACGCCTGACAGAAGACAAGGAGCTGACTGGAACACAGCGAGATGAACAGAAGTAGCCCGCTGGCATAGGAAAGAAGGAACATGAAAACGACCAGAGATGCCCAGAAGATGGGTATTAACTACGTGGCTGCCGGAGAGGCTGTGATGATTGCCATAACAGAAGGTGGAGAGGGGCGCGAGAGCGGAGCGAGAGCGGACACAAATGGAGAAATGGTGAAGGGCGGGGGAGGGGGTGAGAAGAGACAAGGGTACTTACCTTGTATCGAGGGGTATGAAGGGTTATCCAGTCTGCATTGTAGTGGAAACTACCAGTAGATTTGACCTGCCAGTGAATATTTGACTAGACAAGGAAGTGAGTATTGGCGCATCACACCCTGATTTGGCGGTCACCATCTAGATTCACCCATGAAATGCGAGCACAATGCGGATGTGATCGGACGAATAAATGACAGTAATTTAGCTAATCCATGGAGGTCACAGTTTATCAGTGAAGGGGCAAAAGAGATATGATCAAAGCCCTGAGTGCATTGAGGAAACCCACTGAGGCAATAATGTCTTTGCAGCTAAGGCACAGGAACACTCTCTGAACTGGGCTGGAGGAGTTGCGGCGGGAATCCATGTTAAGTTAACTTACCTACCACCTTGGTTAGGTCATCAGGTTGTGTTGCCGCCGCGATCTTCTAGGCGGCACTATCCACGTACATACTGTAGTAGGCCCAGTACATAGTAGTCATTTTATCCACAAGGTTGTGTCTGAGGCTTGTTGGCCCCCTTGATTACCCAGAGGACTCTGAGAAGCATCATTAGCATTATCATACCTTTTCTATGTGCAGTCATCCTGTACATAAATCCTTACACTTCCGATGATCACCACCATGGCTATCGCATGTCGGGCATGAGTACGGAGTACTCCGTAAGTGGTCTGGCATATAATTAAAGCAGATCTCGAGTCCCCATGCTACGATGCTAGGATTTTGGCTTGAATTCACAGCGCTCCACTGATAGCACTGGAATCTCTCGTATTCCTTAGGACAGTGTTGTGGTACTTATCTGGTGAATCACGGCTTTGGCCAGTGATACCAGTACACGGAAAGAAAGACTCCGTACCCTGCTTTACATCAGAGCTAGTGTTAGGTACTTTAGTTGGCACATGGCTTTTGCCCCTTGAAAGCATAACTAGTACGAGGTGAGCGCTGCTGCTGGCACGCAGCTTGTCCGGGGAAATAGCTGGTCTACCCAGCCCTGCCAACAATTGGCTCTGGTACTCGGGCCATCATTGTTCCACGGCTTGTCGATGATGTTTTGTACTCAATACCTTCGCGGAGAGACCTAACTCCGCACGCGCTTCTTGCTTCTTGCTTCAAGGATCCCGGAGTCACAGAAAACATGGCGTCCGAGGTGCAGAATTCAAACCCGACCATATTGAATGTTGCCGATCTCCCCACTCGATTGGGTTCGGCTACATTGAGCAAGGCAGGCACAGACAGAGCCGAGAATCTTGCATCAATCTTTCCACCGTCTGCATATTCAAGTGATTGGCACACCGCTCTACACTCATCTTCTGATTCTAGCGACGAAGAAGAGGAGCGAGAAGAGCCGATTGATGAGCAAGAAATTTATGGTGAGCTATTTGCTTCCTCTGGTCTCTGCGTGTGCCAGAAAAGGGGTTGACTAGATTGTGGCCGTCAGATCTCATATCGTCAATTTCCGATCCAGAGCATCCGATATCTCTAGGAGCACTGGCTGTTGTATCACTTCCAGATATTGCTATAAAGCCAACACTCCCCGATGTGCCTGACTCATCTCTTCGGACAGTATCTGTTCTTATAACACCAACGATCACACATTGCAGCCTTGCTACAGTAATAGGCCTTGGTGTACGTGTTCGGCTTGAGCAATCACTCCCGCCACGGTTTCGCGTGGATGTGCGAATTAAAGAAGGCTCTCATAGCACAGCTGATGAGGTGAATAAACAATTAGCTGATAAAGAAAGAGTTGCCGCTGCGTTGGAAAATGGAACACTTATGGGTGTTATTGCAAAAATGCTCGAAACGTGCCGATGATTTAAGTGGACGTCATGGTCATTTAATGTCTCTTGAAGTGCAATTGTATATATTTTGTGGGTTACTTACAATGCACGGTATTCGTATCAGTGAATTTGTATGTCTACAGATGATTTTCAGGTAAAATATTCAACAGGTAATTCCAATCAACATTATCATGACGATGTCTTTCACGAGTCTAGAACTCCACTTTCCTTTAATCCCTTCCAAAGTTCTGGCTCCAAGAATTTGCTCACTGTAACATCCTCTGCCAGACCTTTACGCCTTCTAGTCTTTAGCACAAAGTCGCGGGCGGTGGCCATGGCAGGAGCCATCTCCAACGGCTTAACCTTGACTTCACGATCGAGCGGATCTCCCGGGACGACGCTCCATTTGTCAAAGACAAGACTCACGGCTGCTTGACCCTGTGTATGGATCCTAAGATCTGTCTCAAAACCGAAAGAATCTATCACTGGTACCAAGCCGCGAACGGAATAAAGCGGCGTCCCTGCAATCGGTCCATCGGAAAGTACGTGCCCCCTTCTTCGAGAGAGGACCGTATACACCGAGGCGACGGCATCTGCGGGCCCCGTCATTGTGCAAGAGTATATGGGTTCCATCAAACGTGGAGATGCCATCAGGAAAGAGGAGTAGATGGCCCGCCGGGAGGTGGGAATGATCTGACCACCTCCTCTGTAGATCGCCTGATCAGCAAGCGAGACATCCGTGAGCCTGAAACGCGTGTTGCGGATCGCTATGAACAGCAGTTAGCTATTTGAAATTGTAATATTCTCCATATACACCAGTATACAATAGTGGTAGCGAAGAAGCACAAAAAGGAAAAGACTCACGTTCTTCACACAGAGGCCCTTCCCTCGTGCCCCAGCTGAAGCCCTGGGTAATGGAATCCCTAACACTGCTGAGGAGCTTTTTGTCAACTTGAGAAGGCAAGGTATCATCCTGCAGAACGTTTGGACCCATTTCATCTGGGCCAAATGCCCAGATGCTTCGCGCTGCCAGCTTATCCCATTCGTACTTGTCTTCGAAGAAGCGAGCCACTTTGCGGATTGGATCCTTGATACTAACTCTGCCGCTCTCGATATCCTCGGCAATCCCATCATCCAAGGGTTCGGCAATCATCGTGATCTTGTTCTTCTTGTTTGGAGTGATAGAATAGCACATGATGGCTGATGTTTCAACAACGGTTTCGCAAAAGCGGGTAACAGGATCCGAGACTTTGATTTCCATCTCTGAGAATAACCTCCGAAGATCATGAAGCACACAGTCCATATAGAGCTCGCCAGTGCCTAAAAGCACGTGTTCACCAGATTCCTCTACTTTAGTTGAGACCAAGGGGTAGCTTTTGTTCACCTTACGAAGACCATCAAGCATCTTAGGCAATTCAGATGGGTTGACGGGCTCGACAGCGACCTTGAATACAGATTCAGTCATGTGCCGGATTGGGCTGAAAATGTAGGCATCTTCGTGATCTTCGAGCTGAAGTGGCACTAGAGTCGCTGTCTTCACAATGGAATTGTCCACGCCCCCAAGAAGAACTAGGTTGCCAGCAGGAACTCCAGTTGTGGGGATGCTGTATGCCGTTTCCGCAATCCATGTGTCGGAAATCGTTGCAACTACCATGTCTTCCTCATCTTCGGGAGTATAGCCTTCACCAAGTACACGAACCTGTTGACTGGGGCAGACCGTGCCACTCATTATTCTCCCGAAAGCGTGAAATTTCGACGCATCCGTACTAGTAAAGAGCTTGGTGACATGCACAACAAGTGGGCCATCAGGGTCACACGCAGCCATTGCTGCTGCAATCTTTGTATCCAAGGGTCCTGTGTAATACCGCTCCAGCTTCTTTTGTGCACCGTCTGCAGGGGAGGGTATGTGCTGGAGTACCATGTCCACGAATCCCGTTGCAGCGCCAAAGAATTGATCACAAACCAGGCGAAGTAGGGCTTTCGCGTCAGATCTCAACTGCGACGGTTTAATATCAACACCGACACTAGCCAGCGTAACCTTAAGGTCTTCGGGACTTTCGCTTAACGTGTGCGAGTAAAGCTTGTAAATGGGCTCCAGAACAAACTTGACAAATGTCCTCTTTGATTCGTCCTCCAATCCTTTCCGGGTAAATTTTCGACTTCTAGGATTGTAGAAGATATCGCCCCACAGACGTAAACTGAGGTCAGATGACTCAACCTGAGGGTAGGTCTCTGAATACATCTTGGCAAACGAATGCAAGGTGAAGCACCATCCCATGGAAGCGCACGCGAAAGAAACATTGCCGCGTTCCGGGCTGAGTCGCCTCTTTTCACCTTGGCCCGGTAAAATATTCTCGATGATAGTGTTTACCTCCTCAACCACGTGCTTCAATTTGAAGTAAGCATCATTAGGAGGTATTTTGAGCTCTAGTATCAACCGATCCATTTTGTTTAGCACCAGCGTGAGTGGAAGATCTTCGAGTATAGCGTGCTTGATGATCTGCTCGGTATTCGCTTGCACGCCTTCGACAACGTCGACTACGAGCACGACACCGTCAGCTAGTCGACATGCGGCCGCCACTTCATCGACAAAGTTCACATGACCCGGAGTGTCAAGAATGTTGAAAAGATGGGATTTGCCTCTTGTGCCCTGGAGGACCAAGCTCATAGGCGCCATTTTGATAGAAATACCCCTTTCTCTTTCAAGAAAGTGCACATCGGTATATCGAAGCTGCTCCTCCTTTCGTCTGCCGGCTCGTTTCTCCAGACGATCAGCTAAATCATGGGTCTGCGTAACAAGCATGTCCATAAAAGCTGTCTTGCCGTGATGTAGATGACCAACAACTGCTATGTTCCTTATCTGCTCAGGGAAATTGAGCAAATCCATCATGAACTCTCTAGAGTAATGGACCTGCGGCAGCTCAGCTTCTTCGATTGCGAATTTCTTTTGTTGGACGGGCGCAATTATAGGCTCAGAGAGAGGCTGTGCGTCCTCCTCTTGAACAAGGGTTTCAACATCTTCCCCGTACACTTGCTGGGCACTCGGGTAATACTGTTTATCTTCATGAAGGATGACGGCATTTGAGGGACCTTCTAATAGACGGCTTAGTACGATGGTGCTTCAATTGCGAACCGGGTAAACACGTACCATCCACTTCCATCAACTGATGCTCACTGGCTTCCCCCTCTTCATCACCCGCGAAAGCCTCCTCAAATTGGAATGCTTGGGGCTCAGCACCTTCATTAAGAGCAGATTCCTCATCCGATTCTCCCACTTCACCAATATAGTTGCCAAATCTGGGAAGTTATCCGTCAGCTGCATATCTAGAAGGAGTGAATATCAGGGACCTACTCATCGTAAAGATCGTCCATGGCGATATGAATCTATAGACGGAAGACAGACTGTCTCGCAAGATTCACAAAAAAGTCAGCAGTGTTGATACTGACAGTGCATTTCTTTTTCGGGGATGTTGATTGGGACGATCAGCCAATCTTTTATTTTGTCTGGCCTTGAGCGCTCCTCGGTTGAGTTTGACGTCAGGTTCCCTTTCTTGTTTTGTTTTGGCCTTTCTTTATGATGTGATTTTGTTCTTGTTAAGGGACTCCACTCCGTCCTTCTGCTTCTTCCCTGCTATCGAGCTGTTGAGGTTGTGCCTAGATTGATACGTACGAGGCAAATCCCGGCCCGAGCTTGGCGTCCTGGTTTGCTTGAGTTCCCTCCGTAAGTGGTACGTTTGTCCGTTGGCCCGCCCCTCCCCGAAAGCCCGTCCGATGCTGGCCGCTAAGTTACGCTTGGGCAGGAGTAAGTGGGGTGCTCCGTACAAGGTGAAGAGTTTCCGTTTGTCTCACCGATCCCGCTTGACATTTCATATTTACCCCTACAGACTCACTTTCTTTGCTCTCCTTTCAGCAGTCCCTAAAGGTCTGGTATTTCACTGAATTTAGCTCACTGTCTAGTCAGCACAGATTTTCCTCTTCTCCGGACTGTAACCTGCACGGTAAAACTGTACATCATGTCTTCGCTGCCTCCTGTTTATATTGTTTCGGCCGTGCGGACCCCTGTGGGCTCATTTTTGGGGTGAGTCTTCACCAGGATACCATTAATGTACAATGGTTGAACCTCAACTCACACACTCTTACCTTTTACATAGTTCTTTATCAAGCCAGACTGCCCCGCAGCTGGGCTCCCATGCGATCAAAGGTCTGACATACCAGTTACTCCAGTCTCGGTGCCGAAACTGACAGGACTCATGATAAGCGGCCCTTAACAAAGCCGATGGTATTAACCCATCGGATGTTCAGGAAGTATTCTTCGGCAACGTTCTCTCTGCAAAGTGAGCTATTTCCCTCTTAGATTGCCTCTGCTCATGAGTGGTCTTCTAACACGTCTTTACTAGCGTTGGTCAGAATCCCGCTAGACAGTGTGCTCTTGGGGCTGGACTTGAAGAGTCTACGGTGTGTACCACGGTTAACAAGGTTTGCGCATCTGGTCTGAAGGCAGTTATTCTTGGAGCCCAAACAATCATGACCGGTAACGCGGATGTTGTTGTGGCCGGTGGCGCCGAGTCCATGTCGAATGCCCCACACTATCTCCCAAATCTTCGCACTGGGGCCAAATATGGCCATCAAAATCTGGTGGATGGCATCATGAAAGACGGCCTGACCGATGCAGGCAAGCAGGAACTTATGGGTTTGCAAGCCGAAGAATGTGCACAAGACCACGATTTGAGCCGGGAACAGCAGGATAACTATGCTATCCGGACCTACGAAAAAGCTCAGGCTGCACAGAAAGCCGGTCTTTTCGATGACGAGATTGCACCTATCGAATTGCCTGGATTCAGGGGCAAGCCGGGTGTCACGGTGTCCCAGGATGAGGAGCCGAAGAATGTAGGTTCTCACAGAATGCTTTTTTGTACCTACACGGGCTGATGTTGTATCTTTTCTCCCTTCTAGCTTAATCCTGATAAGCTTCGGGCTATCAAGCCTGCTTTCATTCCTGGGTCGGGAACCGTGACAGCCCCTAACTCCTCCCCTTTGAATGACGGGGCCGCAGCTGTCGTTTTGGTTTCTGAAGCAAAGGTCAAAGAGCTTAACCTCAAACCCGTTGCTAAAATCCTTGGATGGGGAGATGCCGCTCACCAACCTAGTAAATTCACCACTGCACCCGCTCTCGCAATTCCCAAGGCACTCAAACATGCAGGTGTTGCCCAGGATGCTGTGGATGCCTTTGAGATCAATGAGGCATTCAGCGTGGTTGCTCTGGCCAACATGAAATTGCTCAACATTCCCGAAGAGAAGGTCAACATTCATGGCGGTGCTGTTGCTATCGGTCATCCCATCGGTGCCAGCGGTGCCCGTATCTTGACTACCTTGCTTGGTGTTCTTAAAGCTCGGAACGGCAAGATTGGCTGTGTGGGAATCTGTAATGGAGGTGGTGGCGCGAGCGCCATGGTTGTGGAATCTCTTGTCTAATGTTCGGAAGCGCAATTGGTGAGCCACTTGAGCTCATGGCCATTCTTGTTCAGAAGGAGACCGACAAGCCCCTTACGAGTGGTCTGCTAACAATTTATTCTCCCGCCAAATGTTGGTTTCAAGATGCTAGACGTCATATAGCAACGTTTGTTTCCGAAGAAAACAACCCTTAAGCATTTCTGCCTACTTCTCTGACATTAAAGGCCGTAGTCTGGAAGCTATGTCCAAAAGTTATACAGGCCATGGCCTTGCCTGGATCACTATCCTATGTTGGGCCACGCAAGGACCTCTCGAAACAGTTATGGGAACACATAGCTCAAAGAGATCTAGGAAATATGGTGCAGTGGAAAAGGATCAGAGAATATGGCTAGCACCGACGAGTGTCGCGAGAACCGCATGTATTGACCTGTTTGACTCTGTTTCATCCAATAGGTGCTAGATGAGTTTGATGGGACACCAGACTCTACCCTGTGTCTCAATATTCAGTGGAAAAAGTGACCACGTACTCGAGAGTAAGGTGACATGAGTCCTTGAGGATGAAACCTAACTACTTAAGCGAATGCGCCAACGACCGCCATCAATAAAGCTCCAGCCAGCACTGCAACACAGGCCTCAATGCGTCTCCTTCCTCTAAGTGTTGCGTAACTGGTTTCACTTAAAAAATCTTCTGCCAGAAGTTCAACAAGACCTGCGAACAATAGAAGACCACTGCTGATGGCATTCGTGATCCCAACCATAAGTAGCCCCGTAGTGCTTGCTGGGTCATAGAAATTATGCAGTATGAGGCCGATGGCTTGTCCGATAGGGGTGGTAGTTCCGTAGGCGAGAGACATCAGCCATGGTTTCATGGAAGACGGGGCAAAGAGGTCTGGAATGAGCGACGCAATTCTTGAGCCCAGAGCAAACCCCTCGAACGTCTGATGAAAGCAGATCGCGACGAGGAGGACAATGAATGAAGTACCTGTGGCAACACTGAGGGCCATCCCAATAAAAATGCTATGAAAAAGAATCCCCGCCTCCAGCAGTAGACATTGCAGTAGCTGTCGCTGCGGATTATGTCTAGATGATTCCATGTTCGTCCTTTGGTGCAGATCAGCGCGAGTTTGTCGGTCGCTAGAAGATGAGCGCCGATGCATTTGATCACTCTTCCTACCCAAAGGAGAAGTAGCGTGATGGTGTGGCCGGGCAAAGTCTATACCATCACTCAACTCAGTAAGCCCTAGAGTGCTAGACAGAGTAGGCTCGTTGGTTGAGCTTCCGATATTAGAAATTGACGATGGTGGTACCGCGTCTGTGCTATGATACGCCTCAAGCCTACCAAGATAAACATGACCTCCGGGCTCGTGTTCGTTCTCTAAGTCATCATGCAGACCCCTACTTGCCAAGTCTATACCGACATCATTCATTAGCTTGTCATATTCACTCCCGTGAACATGACCTGCCCCCTTTAGGGCGAAGAACATTTCCACAAGCACAACAACAAAGACCGATATCATGGCGACAAATCCAGCCATGGCACGGTATGTTTCACTCCAAAAGCGAGGAAGACAGGGGTCAGTCAAGGAAATGAATGCCGTGGGCAGCAAATGGACAAAGGCAGTGGCAATCAAAACTCCTGTTCCAAAATGCCTAGATATAAAAAGAAATCGACGCGGTATTGGTAAACGGGGGAATCGGCGGGCAAGTACAGGGAATGAACAAGCTTGTACCTGTGGTATTAGACCCTGGGATTTGGACTGTACTGCACAAGAGAAGAGAAGACATACCAAGTGTGCTTAACACAAGTATAAGAAAAAGTGCTAGGACATGAATTGGAGTGTTATAAGCACCTCGTTCTTTTGAGCCACAGGTTGCAGAACTGTCATTTGAGGTTCGCCGTGCTATTTCGGCCCGTAGAAGAGTATCAGGAATACTTGCAATCAACAGACTGGCATTTCTGAAGCCTGCGACATTAGCAAATGTCTATTAATTGCTATTCAGGAAACGCAACAACATGCAATGACAATTTCATCGTGGTGCTCGATTAATCTCATTTTGCTTATAGGGTGTACTATGACTCACTGATATGGCTGATATTAGCCTGCTCCCATGATGAAGTTGGGATCATTCTTGTCTAAAGCCCGTGGAAATTCCGACTTCCGCTATATCCATGACCTTATGGCAGACTTTGGGCGTGCCGTCTGCTTCGGCAAGGTCTAGAGTAAAAGTGAGGGACGACAAAAACGATGTCCAGCTGATCAACGGACGCTCCAAGTGACCTGCCTATGAAAGGGCATATAAAGTTGGTTTCTACCTTTGTATCAAAGGCACATTGTGCAGGATTGGTGTCGGGATTACTCGGTGAAAACGCGTTTACTTTCTGATCATCTTATCTTCCCAGCCTGATTATATAATACTGGCCCAAATAGACTAAGTAATCACATTACATACCGCGGACCTATGGGTACGGAGTACGGAGTACGTATGTACTATTGTTGCTATAATTAGCTACGCGGCGTCAGCAAAGTCTCAAGATCCTGCCGGAGTACGTAATTCCAATCAGATTCAATAATAGTATCACATGTACCATATTAAGGTAGGCGGTTTTGGCACTGGTACTAGGCCATCATGACTTAAGATTATTAGTTTAGATCTACCCGGTACGGAGTATAGTGGGATGAAATGAGTTCGCAAGACCCCTCGCCCCAAAATAGTTGGTTCAGAAACGCTACACCTATGCACTGTCTACCTGGTCGCTATTCTATAATAATCTGTATGACCAAGAGCACCTCACCGTGGTTCTGCCCGCAGTATGAAGGTGTTCGCTACTAGGTAGGTAGTCTTGTGTAGACAATTGAAGAGTCATCTGAAAGAGGGGGGTGCAAACACTTCTAAAGGTAAAAGTCACGTTACTCTAGCCACTGCTCTATGCTTCTCGATTTACAAACATATATGATACCGATATTTGCACTTGAACTTGAATGCTTATTGGCTTCCATCATGGATATACTATCTGCTTCTCAGCTTGGTCCAGCCACTCATGCCTTTCAAGCGGGAAGTGTTGCCAGCACCACTTGAAACCTCCAGATCACATGTTTCCGAGACTGCATCTGCGTCGACAGATCCCATTTTGTAGGTACTAACGGGAATGATAGAAGAAGATTGAGACACGGAACTGCTTCGGCCATGAGCCATGTCATCCAACTCGCGCCTTTCGAGTAACTCCCATTCTGCACTCGCCAATTCTCCCATCAATGTCGACTTCAGCTTATCTATGACTCTGGTCGGAGATGGAAGCCTCCAAGTGCGCATAAACTCTGCACCTTCGGCAGCACCCAGAAATGAATGCGCAGTGCCGTGCGAATAGTGTCCCAGCATAGGGAATGACACGGTTCGTTGAATACTAGTCTTAGGTGAGACTTTGGATGTCTTCACCTTTACGTGAATATCTCGACCAGCAAACGCTCTCATTAGCGTTGATGGCTGCGCGGGAGGTGCCACAAGCAATTGCCATAGATTTTTTCCCATGTCGCAGATTTCTTCCCAAGACTCTGACATTGAATTGAGCCCCTGGGTGCGGCAAAGCCAGGCAACATTCCAAGCCAGCAATGTCGCTCCTTCGAGAAAGAGGGCGTATGTGCCAGGATCCTCCTTCGCTAATCTGGGAAGACTTTTGTCGATGGACAAAGGCCTTGGCCGAGGCAGACGGTGTGAGTCAAGTCGCTGAGGTTCCATTGGATCAGGCGCTGGCTGCTGTGCAGAAGGCAACTTCGAGCCTACATCCCTTAGAAGGTACGATGCAGAGGGCGCAAATATAGTTGGCAAAGGATAATTCCGGTGAGGGAGCGTAATTTCTGCTGGAAGTCTTAGAGATAGATAGTGGGAGACGAGGACAAGTAATTGTGCGATATATGAGAGTGCCGTTGAAATATGGGCTGGTGAGATGCCTACTTGAAGAATTAATAAATTGAACATATCTAGCCATTACCCTAGGGTATACTTTCCATTCATATGCCTGAGATCGACCAAGTGCATACCGCCGATTGTATAGGTCTCTTGTACTGCACCTTCAACCCTTTTCACCCCCTGTCGCAAATCGTAGAGGTTGGCTGCTTCTCGGCACAGAAATATCCGTGCTTCTGTGGTCTTGCTGTGAAGCGAGTGCCAGAGATGATCAGTCCTTTTAATACTGTTCTGAATACTGGCCAGGATTGCTGTCTCTCGCTCGAAAAGCTGATACTTTGCAGATTCTGCGTCCGATTGCCGCCGTGCTAAAGATACCCTGCGGCGGGAGATTTCAAGTCTTTTTTCTCTGATATCACCAACTAGCCCCTCAATGTGGTTTGTAAGAAGTGTCACTTTCGCGGATGACCCAGCTTCCTTTTCAACGATCCTCCGTGAAACCCAGGACGGAAACACTCCATCGAGGCAGACATCCGAGATGCTCTCATTTTCCGTCGGGTCTTCGCCTAGCTTGCTCAGTAACACTGCAGCCTCGATTTGTTGTTTTATAGACTCCTTCTCAAGTAGCAGTTGGGAATACTCGATCCGTAGCTGGTAGAGCCGATTGCGAGCACAGGTGGAACAGATGCGCCGTAGGTTTGAAGTCGGAGGGCGGGAACATATGTGACAGCTCATTTCAAGAAACTCCGATTCTTAGGAAGGCTGAACATTGAGGGTGACACTGGTGTGGTTCTGTATTGCGATAGCTTTTAAGTAAATGGCGATAAGTCAAGTTCTCTGATATAATACCCATGCGTGCCGACTTGGAGGAAACAGATCCCTCATGACTTGTCAAAGTCTAGTGGCGATCACATAGAGCCGCAGAGGTAAGTTGACAGGCAGTAGTCAGTCAGTCCCAAAGGGAAGAACGGTTTGCTCCAGCTTACGTCACTTGCTAAGTCGAGTTAGTTAACGCAAAAGCCGAAGCTTAGATCAATTACCGTACCCATTCCGTACAATACCTCAGACTGAAGATCGGGAACCACAGTAGCGATCTCAAGTTAACTGTAAAGAGGATGGCTATTGGCCCCGGCTGGAATTCTAATGGCGCTGTTGTTGTACTCAAAGCACAAGTCTCTGCGTTGGAATCTTCTTACATCAGGAGATATAGTTATCAGTGATTATTAGGGATTTTAGTAGCCGAAGATATTGCTGTTGAGGTGTTCTATAAGCAAGTCTTGTTTTATTGCTTTTGTCAGAATTATTAGAGTCTATATCAATATCATTATTGCTTATGTATCTGTATGTAAGAGTACAGAGAATAAAGTACTTAAAGGCTCTAACTTACCGCCCATCATAGAAAGTTTTCATGAAGTATTAAAATTACAGTAAGTCTTAATAGCATTTATCACCTGTAAAACATACTACCACTTCATAGGTATAATCATAATTACCATCTGACCATTTTATAGCTGAACGAAGCTGATTTTATATGACCACCCACAATTTCATCCCTAAATATCGAGTCTGGTATCTATGTCTCTCTCTTATAGATACTGCCCATGAGACCACAAAGAGACTTATGTAGAAGTATTATAGCTTAGGTGTCAGCAGTATACCTATTGGAAGCTGACCGCTTCCCCTTCCTTCCTTTTGTTTCCCTCCAACCTCATTCCTGATCAAACCTGCTGTCTTTGAGCGGCTGCGCTTGACAGTCTTTTTGATGATCACCTCACCTTGGTCTGAAACTGTGGTTTTAGACTCAATATCACTAGTCCCTATGCAACATTCAAGCACGGAAATGGAGTTGACAATGCCTTGTTCGCAGGCGCGGGTCCACTCACATATTGAGTGTCATGAAGCTGTGCAAATGGAAGCTTTCCCCATCAGCAACTTAGATGCATATAACTGGAAAGAACTTGAGAACAGATATTACAAGGCCATGGAGCAACACAAAGAAGCAGAAGATGCCCTCCAGAACCATATTTTGAGAATGCTAGAGGTTGTTCATGTGGTTCTTTGTGTTCACATGGTGTTGTTCTAATTTCTGCATAGATTTTCATGGCATGGTCTCAAACCACTATTACCCGCGACGAAACAAGAGCCTTCAAAAGGTTTTCTTCCTATCTCGTCTCCAAGAGGTGAGATATTGACATATCAATTTTAGATTCAAGACCCAGATGCAACATGTTCAGAATTCCGAAGCGAGCTTGGAGAAGAAGAAGCGGCATTGTATAGCCCTGATAACACCTTCTTGTCAATGAGGCCGTGCTGATCAGGGGCTTAGATACCGATGTTGTCAAGGCATTTGAGAGTGCTCTCGCATTGCTAGACGACCGTCTTTAGACATGCACATGGCCACAAAATCGAGCCCGGTCGTTTGGATCACACTCCTATTCCTGATTTGCTAATTGCCCAGCAATGGTGGGCCATCCTTGTGGGCGACCCAGGAGAATCTAGCCATATGATGTTACGAATAAGTGTCACTGCTGCTCGGCTTTCTGATGACTGGGTTGAGTTCTTGCTTGGAACGAGATACACAAGCATTATTATCCTAAATTTCTGCTGCCATCCTGCCTGTCCATCCTTCGTACAGTGTCATCCAACCCAGTATTGCCACGCCTTCCGGTGCTCGCTAGGAGATTCTCCTCCTCGGCTACCTCGGCTTCCTCGGTAAGTAAAAGCTCGTCTTGTCGTGGTGAGCGAATGATGAACGTGACAACAACGAGTAAATAAAAACCTGTGATACACAAAAAGGTCAATAATATCGATCTCGCTGGGATGCGGGAGTAGAATAGTGTTACTTCCTCCAACTGACCGGGTTTGACCAGCTTTCCGGCTCTGGGGGGTCGTTGCCAACCCTCCTGAGCCAGTCCGGAGGTCTCACCGAACCATTCAATCGGTAGTAGCGACGGGCGGTGTATACAAACCTATGAACATGAATTGAGACCAGAAAAGTATCACCCCAAAGAAGGGAAACTTTGTTGTCACATGATTCACAAATGTGCTAGCAACGCTAGGCGTACAAGATTGCCTTGCAGCTGTATTCTCTGCAATGTCCGAACATCGTTTGATGAGTTGCGTGTTATCTGAGCAATCTGGATGCCCTTCAGGGGTTGGCGGGCGATCACAAAAAGTTTGAGAACCAAATAATGCGTACTGCGGGGCCACATTCATGGACAAAGAATAGTTGAGTGTTAAAATGGTCAGCATCAAGATCACCGTTGTCAGCAGAAGAGCCTGCGGAGATGTATAGCCTCTTCTGATCCGAAATATTGTCATCCAGAGGAATCGAATGCCTATTGTAGCGATCCCGAATACTGAGCTGGAGAAGAGAAGTAAAGTGAGTACCGTGAACATGATGTAGTCGATTGGAAATATCCTCGCCGATTGAACCAGGATCCAATCTATCGGATTGAACATATGCATATGTTTGAGGAGGTATCCGCAACGGTGTTTGCAGAGCGAGTTGCTGGCCTTGTCGATAGACGTCAATAACATGGATATCAATATAAGAAGCGCGATTAACAACAAGCAAATGCCGCCCAGTACTCTCAATGGACGGCATGTAGCCTCGGCTTTTAGCAACAGTTTGACGACCCAGTCTCGGTGCTCCGCGTGTGCTTCGTCTGCTAGGCGCTGGCGCCGGATTAATGTCCTCTCCTCCCGAACAAGGGTATCCAATTCTCTACGATCCTTGGAGGACAAAAGCCCAGAATTTCCTCCGCAGCGCCGATCCAATTGGCGTTGGCGTTCTCTGTTGGACTCAAGCTGCATGGCGATGGCAGCTTTCCATGTATCCTTCGGTGCTGACGGAACTCTGACTGCCTGCAAAGGGAGAAGAGCAAGGCCCGTGGACGTATATAGGACATAAAAAGGCACTCCGATTGTCATAAGTACTCCAACTGTAAACACAAGGGCGCGCTCGCCTCCTATATATAAGAAAGTCAAGAGTCAGCTTCGCAAGGGGAATAGATCAAGATAGTATTTTGCTCGAGGTAATCAAGGGGCAACAAAGCTCAAAAAGGAAGCGAAGGGCATACGATTTTCGACCATTGAGGCCGTAAGAGGTTCACTTTCAGTGACATTCTCGACGTTCGACATAGGAACAAGAGAGCCGACCAGAAGTAGCACTGCCACAATTGCGATAAAAGATATAGTATATTTGAGGGCAGCCCAGAGTCGTTGGGCCGAGGTTTGTTCACCTGCTTCAGTAGCAACCTCATCATACTCTTCGTACCAGAAATAAATAAACGGGATGACTAAAAGGCATAGGATGGCATCAAGTGAATAGAGTAGATAGTATACGACAGTCAAGGAACGAAGAACATTGTCGACATCAGTTTGGGCGGTCAAACCTTTCCTTTGGCCCAGACTTGATGACGTCGCTGAAGAGACCAGAGCAACATCAACTGGCAGTAGGAGAACAGTTGCAAGAAGACTTGTGATGGTAAAAATACAAGTTAAGGTCACAGCGCGCGAACGATCTCGAGGGGCTTGATAAATGTGGATGAGGAACCAGGCTACCAATACCGCAAGGACTATCGCAATGGCATATATGACCCAAATGAGGGATGTTTGTAGAGAAGCCATTTGGTATAGTTCAGTAGCTCACATGAAATGTATGCGGATTATGAGACAATCGAAGTGAAGAAGTCAACACATCCAGCAACGCCCGTTCTACTTACAGTACCATTGAACTGAATGTGAGCGTAGGCCAAGCGTCCCCGTAATTCAGCGAAAAAAGCCGGGTTGGTTAGTTAGTAAAGCTATAACTTGACTAGGCCCGTTCAGTGGCGTCTTACATCATCTGATAGGACTGTCACGTGAATTATCGCTCTGTTTGATCCGAGCCTAGTGTTTTTGTTGAAGTTCCGGACGTACCTTTCGACTCACGCCAGTTTTCATTGTATGCCCTTTGTTGTGCCACAGACCTGTTCTTCGCCCCTTAACCTGCCTCGCCTTTGATATCAGGCAATGTTGAGGAAACGGCAAGGCAGTTAAAGCAGCCGGGTGGCTGGCCAGACCATTTATACTAAAAAGACGACCGCAGATCTCGCTCAACATTGCAGATGCAGTGCTATTCCGAATTGCTGGCCCCCACTGGGGTCACTCATGCATTGGCACTACCTTTCCTGACTGAATCATCTACCAATCTCGTTGTCGTGAAGACCTCTTTACTCCAAATCTTTTCTTTGCAAAGGAACCCTTGTGGTCTACAACGAGTGGATGGGCAGCTCAGTGAACAAACAACGAAACTGGTCCTGGAGAAGGAGTACCCCTTAGCTGGCACAGCAACCAACCTGTGCCGGGTCAAAACTTTGAATTCAAGAAGCGGGGGAGAGGCCATTCTCATCTCGTTTCGCAATGCCAAACTCAGCTTGATTGAATGGGATCCGGAACGCCGTGGTATCTCAACAATCTCGATTCATTATTATGAGCGGGATGACTTGACCCGTAGTCCCTGGGTCCCTGACTTGAGCAGTTGTGGCAGCATTCTTAGTGTGGACCCAAGCAGTAGATGTGCGATATTCAACTTCGGGATCCGGAATTTCGCCATCATTCCTTTTCATCAGCCAGGGGATGACTTGGTGATGGATGATTATGACTCAGACTTAGAAGGACAGAATGCAGGAAGCCACAGCTCTGGGGATAACGATCGTGAAAAGGCCAATCCGGCCACAATATATCAAACCCCGTATGCTCCATCCTTCGTCTTACCATTGAGTGCACTGGACCCAACAATTCTGCACCCAATAAGTTTCGCATTTCTATATGAATATAGGGAACCGACTTTTGGAATACTGTACTCGCAGGTTGCGACGTCTAGCGCACTCCTACAAGAAAGAAAAGACATTGTCTTCTATTCCGTGTTTACTCTCGATCTGGAACAGCGAGCATCCACCACCCTGCTTTCAGTATCTAGGTTGCCCAGCGATCTCTTTAAAGTGGTAGCACTCCCACCTCCTGTTGGCGGCGCTTTGTTGATTGGGTCCAATGAGCTGGTGCATGTTGATCAGGCCGGTAAGACCAACGCGGTCGGAGTCAACGAGTTTTCCAGACTGGTCTCGGCATTTTCTATGTCGGATCACTCAGACCTGGCTCTGCGTCTAGAAAACTGCGTTCTTGAGACTTTGGACGACGGCAGTGGTGATTTGCTGCTGGTGTTATCGACAGGAGACTTCGCGATTGTGAAATTTAGGCTCGATGGCAGGTCAGTCTCTGGAATTTCAGTACACCCCTTATCCAGTCACGCCGGGGTTGATTCTATGAAATCAGCTGCTTCCTCCTCAGCGTCTATTGGCGAAAGTAGGGTTTTCTTAGGCAGCGAAGGTTCGGACTCTATCCTTTTAGGTTACTCCTTCGCATCCTCGAGCTCGAAAAAGCTTCGGCCATTGTCGAAAGCTATGGATGATTCTGTGGACATGGACGATGACCAGAATGAAAACGATGTTTACGAAGACGATTTATATGCCACATCACCAGATTTGGCTCCGACTGGTGGTTCCACAAAGCTTGAACATACTTCTGGTATACGTTACTTTCGCGTCCTCGACAGACTCATCAACATCGCCCCTGTGAGGGACATTGTCCTAGGCAGGCGCTCCGTGGTTGCGGAAATGGAATATAATCATTCCGAACATGAATCTGCTAGGTTGGAACTAGTGGCAGCTCAGGGCTCTGATAGTGGCGGTGGTTTGATAGCACTGAGTCGCGAACTTGATCCTGATGTGATACACTCCGTTGAAGTTGAGGCTGCGGAATGTCTCTGGACAGCTTTTGTAATTAAAGGCACAAAGGCGGCAACCGGCATTTCGGACGACTGTCGATCTCAATCACGCCATTTTGTCATCGCTTCTCGCACGAAAAGCGTCGATAAAGAAGAGTCTCTTGTTTACTTGGAAGATTCCGGTGTCTTGAAACCCTTCAAAGCCACTGAGTTCAATCCAAATGAAGATGTGACCATTGAAATCAACACCTTGATGGGTAACAAGCGGGTAGTTCAAGTTCTGAAAAATGAAGTTCGAACTTACGATAGCGGTAAGCCCCCGGCCCGATCTAGTGCTGGAATAGTTGCGCTGATGAGACATAGATTTGGGTTTAACCCAAATATATCCCATCTGGGATGATGACACCAATGATGAACGGATGGCTATTAGTGCCAGCTTTGCAGACCCCTGCCTTGCAATTCTTCGGGATGACTCAACCTTATTGTTTCTTCAATCCGACGAAAGTGGGGATCTTGACGAAGTCGTCCTACATGAGCAATTCGCAGTAAAAAAATGGATCTCCTGTAGTCTGTACTACGATAAGACTGGCACATTCTCTGCTGTCGACTCAGCTTTCAAAGAACCGGGCGTTCTCTATTTATTCCTCCTGGACCAGGATTACAAACTCTATGTAGGTACACCGTGTGTATTCAAATTTCTTGAGCTGGTTGGCTGGCTGTATACACCACCGATCGTTTGCTTACCTGATGTTCAGATGTACCGCCTTCCCGATCAAATCCTGGTGACTATTATTGAGGGAGTTGCCGGGCTGCCACCAATCTTGTCCTCCGAAGCCCCAAAGCGATCTGGGGCACGAGAGTCATTGACCGAGGCTATTGTTACCGACCTTGGGGATTCCTCTAGCGCCTCGCCATACTTGATTGTATGCTCAAGTGTTTCCGTGTACACTACACTTGATCTCCCATGCTGACGCGTTCTTATCATTAGTTGCGGTGCCAGAACGACGGCATTAACATATATAAACCATTTTTCGTCTCCACGGGTGCCGGAGATGGAAAACCCAGCCTGCGATTCTCGAAGGAGGTCAACACAGTTCTTCCGAAGGTACCTTCTCGTGGGGGCGTAGAATCGGCTGACAAAGGTCAATGTAAAGCCCAACCATTGCGTATCCTTCCCGACTTGTTCGGGCTTGCCACCGTCTTCATGCCCGGGGCTTCGGCTGGTTTCATCGTGCGGACATCTACCAGCTCGCCGCATTTTGTACGCTTACGAGGGGATTATCCACGAAGCGTGAGCATTCTTAACCCTCTGGCGTCGATTAGCCGTTTCGCCTATCTAGAATTGAATGTAAGTCTCAGAACCCAGACTTTGACCAGGTGCAACTCTTTCTACCCGAAAGGTGATAAGCTGACCCGCTGAAGGGCACCATTCGTCTGTGTCAATTGCCCCGTGGCATGCTGTTTGATCACAAATGGCCTTTGCGGAAGGTACCATTGGGTGAACAAGTTGATCACTTAGCCTACTCGTCCTCGTCAGGAATTTATGTACTGGGGACTTGCCAAAAGACAGATTTCAAACTGCCCGAAGACGACGAACTGCATCCCGAGTGGCGCACCGAAGGTTCGTTGTCTTTGCGTGTTTTCAGAATACATGCTAAATGCCATCAGTTGTTTCATTCCTGCCTGAAGCGCATAGAAGCTCTCTGAAAATAGTTAGCCCGAAGACATGGTCTATTCTTGACAGGTGAGAGGAAGCAATGGAAGGTCTATTCGGTTACGAGAAGTACTGACATTTCCTTGTAAATCCCAAGTTATTCTTTGGATGCTAGTGAGTATGTGATGGCCATGAAAAATATCAGTCTCGAAATTTCGGAAAACACCCGAGAACGCAGAGAGATGATAGTTGTCGGGACGGCGATTGCGCGCGGTGAAGATATACCCTCGCGAGGTTGCATATATGTCTTCGAGGTGATCAAGGTGGTTCCGGACCCCGATAATCCCTCATTGGACCGCAAATTGAAACTCATCGGCAAAGAATTGGTAAAGGGTGCTGTAACTGCACTGTCTGAAATTGGCGGTCAGGGTTTCATTATTGTCTCCCAAGGGCAGAAATGCATGGTCAGAGGTCTCAAAGAGGACGGCAGCCTTCTTCCAGTGGCATTTATGGATATGCAATGCTATGTCAGTGTTGTGAAAGAGCTGAAAGGCACTGGCATGTGCATTCTGGGAGACGCCACGAGAGGGCTGTGGTTCGCTGGCTATTCGGTACGTTTCTTCATGCCTAAACATACCGCCGCCGATCTGACAACTGATGTGTTTCCAGGAGGAGCCGTATAAGTTAAGTCTGTTCGCCAAAGACCTGGACTATTTGGAGGTGGTAGCCGCAGACTTCCTTCCTGATGGCAGAAGGCTGTTCCTCGTCGTGGCTGATAGCGACTGCAACATTCACATATTACAATATGACCCCGAAGGTAGGCAACACTGTGGTTGGCGTTCATGGGGAGAACTTTGACTGACTCAGAAGCAGACCCCAAGTCCTCCAATGGGGACAGACTACTCAGTCGTAGTAAATTCCATACGGGCAACTTTGCCTCTACGCTAACACTGCTTCCACGTACGATGGTTTCGTCAGAATCGCTACTTTCTCAACAGGATGACATGGACCTGGATCGCCAAGCACCGCTCTACCAGTCTCTCATGACCTCACAAAACGGATCTATCGGCCTCATAACTTGCATTCCAGAAGAGGCATACCGTCGACTGTCCGCTCTGCAGTCCCAATTGACTAACATTCTTGAGCATCCTTGCGGATTGAACCCTCGCGCTTTCCGCGCCGTTGAGAGTGACGGTACTGCGGGAAGGGGGATGCTGGACGGCACTTTGTTAAACCAATGGCTCAATCTCAGTACACAGCGCAAAACGGAGATAGCAAGCCGCGTTGGGGCAAACGAATGGGAGATCAAGGCGGATTTGGAAAGCATAGGGGGCGATGGACTTGGATATCTCTGATGCGGTTGTATTTTCGGGTGTCTCATGCAAGCACATTAAGTTGACGCGGACTTGCAAGCACTACGTCGGTCTTATTTCCAAAGAGCCGACTGTTTCTTGGCCCACAACGATGTGATGTATGTGCAGCAGCTCCGCTCACTTTTCAGTACCGCAAGCCTAGAAACCTATGTCCGCTGCACGCAGTGTATGGCAGATTCACGACTCACTACATTCCTAGTCCTTTGCATCCATCTCGCAAGCAAATGAGACTTAGCTGGCTTCCTGAATCAGTAACCGGACACTTTATCAAGCTGCTTTACAACACCCAACCCGCAAGATAACAAGTTTATGCAAGGACGACGTGGAGTCAAATATACGACCGGTAAATGCGGTCTATGAATTAACGATTCATAGTGACAAAAGTAGTGCGGTAAGCAGGCAGGTAATAAGCCTGGCACCCGAGCATCTGCAAGATAGATAGGCAAGAAAGAACAAAAATGAAAGGCCGAAAGGAAACGAAAAAGAACTTATAGTCAACAAGAACACCAATCAAGAACCCCCAAACGCCATGATGAAAACATCGAACAAGCAGAAACTCCAGCATGCCCTAGCATGCGCCAGTCCGTCCCCGTTTGATCCGGGAGTTAATTTCCATAACCGTACACCCCTATATATGTTCCTGAGAAATCTATGTGTCAGTCGGGTTCCAAGAGAGAAGTCATCCGAACAGGTTGCATATTGTCGGCGACAAGCCTGATAAAGTAGGGAAAATTGGAAGATCAAACACAGCATCCCAAGACGATGAAGCACGATGGTGGATAAGGTTTCCATACAAGTGAGGGGGCATATCGCAACCCATTCTCTGCTGCTTTGGGAGGGGGAACTTTTGCTCCCAGTCTATATTTTCGAGTGCAGTGCTATCGCTCATGGACTAGATCCATCTAGAAGACGTCTTCTGCAGCAAAATATCGCTTGCTTCTTCCTCGCGCAGCCACAAATTTGACCTCCGGCAGATTGGTGTGATGCACTACATGCGGTCGGTAAACAGCATCAACAGGCGCCTGCCAATCATCCAGCCCCAACGGAAAGTACTCGTACAACAAATCAGCACTTTCATTGGGGAAGGGAAGCGTAGACGCAAATGATTGCTGCATGTTCGTACTACCCAGTAGGGGCAGCGACGAAGAGGCAGATCGAGATGGCGCTTGGGGCGGGCCATGGGAGAGTTTCCGCATTTTTGCTGGGGGTGCAGTGCCGTCTATATTGGAATCCCTATGCGATACGTCATTGCTGTACGATGCAGCTGCTCTGGCTGAATCATGAATGTTGACGCTTTCTCCGCTCTCGTCCTCGTCGAAAAGGGACAAGTTCATGGGAGCCGGAATGCTATTGTGAAGCCGCTGTGTATCCGTAGGCCGCGGGAAATCTGGACTCGATTGAGCATATACAGACGAATGAGGCAATGGTGCGGAAGCTGTTGTTCCCCCAACGGCAGGCGAGATCTGTGCCCAGTCGGCGGTAGCCGGTGGAGGAGGAGCTATACTGCCTTGAGAGACTGCGGTCTCAGGTGAGCTACTTTTCACCGTCGCCTTGGCTTTAGCCGGTGTTAGGTTAGAAGACGGGGCAGATTCACTGGTCGGTGTTCGGTTCACCGCAGTGGATTGGTTATTCTTTCGTGAAGCAGCAGCGCTGCCGCTCAGAGGCAAGTCCTTGCGGGATTGGAAATTGCGTGGGCTACGACCCCGAACAATGACAGGACCTGACTGTACTTCGCAAATGGGAATTCTGGCTCCAGTAGACAAGGTAGCAATGACTTTCAATCGAACGACAAAGTGTTGTTGGAGCTCTTTTCTTCGACCATTATTGGCAGTCGCGACGCGGAATTGTAGTCGCTTCCATGCAATCGGAAAAGTCGCATAGTCGGTATCAAGATCCTGACCAGCCATAATGTCCAACGGGATCGGTGGCGGCTCTTTTTCGACTTTGGGATTAGCGGTGCTTGAGTTGGCACCCATGCCATTCGCTGTGACGCTGCTCTCATCTGTTGATTGATTCTGATTTGCGGCTGGTGTCTTCCAAGGTACCGAGATAATCTTGACCGAGTTACCTTCGACCGACTCGGTAGCTGAAACAGTCAATTCTTGGGCAAGAATAGGTATTCGGTCGCCTTGCTCCGTCATAATATATCTCAAGCTTCGTGGCAGGGTCACTGAGCCGGTGATTTGAAAGAGATTTCGCCGATAGCAGGTCAGCTCCGCGCCTTGCTGGGGTAAAGCATTCTCTGTGGGCGAGGTAGTCCAGGGCGACTCGGCGAGGAAGAACATGCCATGCAGTTGGGCTGCAAGAGAAACCGAGGTGCGCCGCAGTGAGTAGTCAAGCAATGTAAAACTGTAGGCCGGAAGTGAAAAGCTTAAGAGCTTGTTGTTGTGGTCGATTGAAGAGTCTGGAGGTTGCTCTGGAGGAGCAGGGTCAAAGGTTGGCACTATATCTGTGAAGGGGTCCTGGTAGTCTGACGGAAAGCGTTTCAGGCTTGTGGGGGGTACACCATGTTGAGTAAAGGTAATGTCGTCGCCGCTAGCCCGGGACAATGATTAGCCACGGCAAGATCGCAGATCGGGCAGGAATTACCACTCTCAAGGGCCCTATATAATACTTACCTAACGAAGGGCTCCGACTCGAAAGCTGATCGCTGGTCATGCATGTCCATACCAGGCATAGAATGGAGGTAGTCGGACCCCTGGAGATTGCTCAAGGAAAGCGGGCTGGCCAAATAGGGCATAGACATAGTGTCAAAGCCCTCCATGTTGAAGGATTGGCCCTTCGGGGCTCGAACCTCTCAAAAGACCAAACGCAGAAGAGTGACCAACCGCGGGACTGGAAGCAAAGTGTCAATGAGGGCGACCTAGGGAGGAGAGGGTGAGGGAGAGTGAGGCGGCAGGAAGAGCGAAAGGAAGAGCAGGAGAAACAGGACAAAAAGCTAGGTCGGGAAGCGGCAGAAGAGAAGAGGATGTGAGAGGGCAAAAAGTTGAGTGAAGTTGAAGGACGGAGGACGAAAGGTGAAGGGTGAAGGGTGAAGAAGGGTGTGGCAGGTAAGCAGGTGGAAAGCCAGATCGATTCCGGCGGGAGGGGTGTTGCGCTACGAGCGCGGCCGCAGAAGGAAGCCAAAGACGGGGTTCATGAGGGAAGGACAGACCGATATGATTGATGTGAATCAATGGATGAATGGATGAATGGATGAGTAGATGGATGAGTGTGAAGCCAAAGAAGCAAATGGGTGGAGTAAGGTAAATTGGTTTGGGGGGGGGCGGGGGGGTGAACAATGGTTTAGAAAGCCGGTTGCAGTGATGGTTCCGCAATCGTTCCCTTTTGGATTGTTGTGGATAGATATGAGAAGGATGAATACCCAGTACCTAGTAACGTTAAGGTGCGGCACACACGTGCGCGTGCGGAGAGAGGGAGGAAGGGAGGAAGGAAGGGAGGGGAGGAGGCCCGGGGGATGCAGTGGAAATCAGCAGTAGGCCAAGGAGACAAGCAAACCGGACAAAACAGAGAGTACATACTGTGTACAATGGAAATGGAAAATGGAAAAGAAAATTGTTAACCTATCGACATCGAACCCAACCAAAACAGAGAGACCAGCAGAAACTATGTGTAGATGCTAGAAGCTCAGCTTTGCAGAAGGAATAGGTGAAGTGAATAGGTAGTGCACTATAGTAACTTAGTGTAGTAGTAGTAGTAGTAGAAGTTGTTGTTGTTGTCGTAGTCGTAATAGTAAATTAGGGAAGTATTAAGCTGAGAGAAAGAGACCAGAAAAGAACGAGACAAGCACGAGCAAGCAAGAGACTCCAGATTCCGAGAGCAGGGTGGATCAGATTTCCCCGAAGCCAGGAAGCCAAGCAAATCAAAAGGGCCATCGGGACCGGAGACGGGGGAGGGGGGAGGGGGAGGGGAAGGGGGCGCACGGAGACTGGATCGAGCTATGAGGGGAGCGAAGAGAAAAGAGGAGAGAGTTAAGTACCCAGTACTAGTTGGTTTACGGAGTCCAGTACGGAGCAACCTTAGTTATGAATCCAATTTAATCACTCCACAACTCAATTGAGTTGACAAGTATACAGTCGTTTGTAGATACTGACTATAGATACTATAGATTCTATATTAACATACCATTCGTTGCCTCGTAGATAGACTGGCTCTAATTGACTTCCAGTCAGTCAGTACTCAGTACTCCGTAGACTGCAGGTGGGTGGGTGGGACAGACAAACAAGACTAATCCACATTCAGATAGACAGACCCTCGCTCTGCCCCCGGGCACGAGTGGGTTAATATGAATGAGTACATACTAGGTACAGTACTCCGTAGTAACCCACGTACTCATCTAACAAGAACAAACTGAAAACTGAAAACTGAAAAGAAAGAAAAAATACTGAAGACAGATGGACAAATCAAGGAGTTGAACAGATTCTCGAGTACGGACTCAAGTAGTACTAGTTATAACTTAGTTATTACTGTGTAAGCCTCTCTTAGCGCCTCGGTCTCATTCTATTCGCGGTTGTGCCTGAGTAGGGGCGGTCATTTAGAGATACGCATGTAGGTGTACATGCACCTACAATGCAGTACGCATAGTGGTGAAAGAAGAAGGAACAAGTGAGGAAGAAGAATGCGAATGCATGTAGTCGTAGTCTAGGTGGCCGGAGACGGTGATGGTGCTAAAAGTGTAAAGTAACTTACCAGAGTAGTGGGGATCACTTTTTTAATTAAAGTTTACGGTCGGTCAGCTTGCCTGGTGGAGCCGAACTGACCGGAACTGCCCGCCAACTGGTGAGAGCTTGCTTCTAATGCTCGATTCCCTTCAATTCCCAGTTGCGAGTCTCCCCTGAAATGACTGTGATGTCCTTTGCTGTTTCCGGAACTCCACCCACCACTCCAGGCTCAATCAACCATGTCCTTTGTTGTGGCCAGGGCAGGAAGAGTTTGGATATTTCTTAGATCACTGAAGTACTCATGGAGATACTGTGCGAATATACCCATCACCGTACTCGGGTGTATATATAATATACGAGTAACTTAGTTGTGGACGTAGAGACTGGCCCTACCAGTCTAGCATCGGCTCCGAAGACTGAAGCAGGCCTAGAGCTAGCTGCATGTCTCACATATGATGCTGTCCGCAAAAAGATGACTGGCCGAACATTGTGCGACTAGGCCGCTAACCCAGTCAACCATGTTGGGGCGCCGGCATCCGAAAACAGTTTATCAGACTCTTAGTCGAATGCAGATATGCCCCCGTTGGATCGGAACGCTTGCATCGCCGGCGGCACGTCTCTTCTGTCGCTATGATGACATTAACCCCCCTTTCCCCCCCCCCCCCAAAAAAAACAGAGAAAGAAGGTAAAAACAAAAAGGGAAGAAAGAAAGATAGCTAGAAGCTCGTTATGGGTCCCGAATTCAACTCAGAATTGCTTTGTCCGATGTATTGACTGATATTTACAGCGGGTGGATCATCATGCAAAGGTGAGAAGACTATATACAGACCTCGGGAGCTATCACACAGAGTTTAAAGCTGAGGCTGCTCAGAAAGCACTATCTACGAGGAAGGTGCCATGGTCCATGTCGCGGCATCGCAATTGATTTCTTCAAAGCTATGCAGGGCACTGAAGCCCATGCCGGAAAGGCAGTCAAGATTGCTGTCACCATCAACCTGTAGCAAAAATCGTCAATAACGCCCTTATGCAAACCGCTTCACATTTGGAAAGAATGACTCACGCAATCCATTATCACGGCCTCAGCACCTTGTTTGCGGATTTGCTTGATGCCTAGTAAGATCAGGCCCTGCATGACTGTAGCGTACTCGCCGACCGATGGAGATATGACGGGAGACGAGATACCTCCGGCGGCAATTTGAAGCGATCTCAGAACCGGCATGTGCTCCGCTAAAGCTGCTCGTCCATTGTAGACGACTACGCTGCCCAAAATAGCACCATTACCGGGGCGGGTCGCCCGGATGATCCCACAGTGCGGGGATCCTCTCAAAGCCACTTTGTAGATATCTAGAACCCCTTGCCTGGAGTTCGTTTTAATATGGTCCAGAATCGAATCTGCATAGTCCCAGCCATAAACAAGATCATAGGCCACGTCCGCATGCTGGATGCCGTGAACCAAGCTGTCCGTTGGCGTCCAAGAAGACAAATTGCGCAGGACCGCGCTACAGACAGGCCGTGAAAGGGCCGTATTCCACCCCAAGTTCGCAAACCATTGGCGCAGCCTCTTGCGGTCCACCGGGTTTGCTGATGGGATACCCAGATAAATCCCCGGAAGGCGAGAGCCCAGCTGAAACCGTCTCATGCCCTTCCTGTGCAGAAGAGTTCGGATGGCACGATTGTGGAGAGAATTCCCTATAGATAGTTTCCGTCTTGCGGGATGGACGATCAAGGACCCAATGACGCCAGTGCCCGTGGATCGAAAGTAATACGTGGAACAGAATCCGTATAAAGCCTGAGTACTGCTGTTGCGAACCACAAAGTGTGCCTCATCGATCTCTTCTTTGCGGAGCAGAAAGCTGGTAGATGTTACACCTAGCAACTCCGGACGTTGTCCTTGCACACAATCATCTCGGACAGCATTCAGTAGGGAGTCTAAGGCATGCGCATCCCTATCCTCGTTCCAGCTCTCTACCAGCCAGTGTTGCCTCGCCTGGTGAAGCTTTTGACTGCGACTTATAGAACCCGGGAGTGACCCCACGGCGGTCAACTCTCCGTAAAGTACTTTGACCAAGGCCTCCAAGGCCGCTTCGGTGAAGTCATAAGTGCAAAGATAGGTTCCAATGGACAAGTCCATTGCAAAGTCATAAGGCGAGCTTGCTGCGACCACGATTAATGGTTTCTCGCGAGGTTCGCCTGATGGAGTGAATTTGGATCTACAGATCATAGACACGTGCCTAGTAAAACCATGTTGATACAAGTTTCGGTTGGCGTCGGCGGTGACGACGATGACCGCGCTAGCCCGATCAATGAGGTCCTCATGAATCGGACGTACACCGTTGGCCGTGTAGGATGTATGCAAAACACGACCACCGCGATGTCGGGAAAGGGACCTCCCAAGCTCTTTGAAGACACTTTCGCCACTCAAAACAGATGCTGTTCGATCCCACGCAACCGGGTCAAGAGATACGTTCAAATGCTCGTTCACGGAGCGCGATACAGCCGAAGCGGGCAGCGGCTTTACCAATGGTGTCAAGAGGAGCAACTCCTCGTTTTGCTCGAGAATATTGGTCAAGGGTAGTAAGTTCTGCTTGTCTCGGACAACTGAGATAGAACTGTTGTATGCTCGTGTGGAGAGACTCGTGTGGGACGGTTGCATTTGGGTGAGTAAAGTAAGACCAGGCGGGCTGAGGGCTTGCTCCCAAGACGTGCATTTGGCTTTCAAGCTCAACACTCTGCGGAGCGACTGCTCGATGCGTCCGCGCCCGATTATACCATTCTCCACACCTAGCTTCAAGCCACTGATGGCCTCTTGTTGAACCTGGAATGAGCGACAAAGAAGGATGATATCGCACCCGGCATTTTTGGCCATCACTGTCCCTCCACCGACGCCGATATTGTGGGTCAGGGCCTCCATCTCTAGGCACTCAGAAACGACCACACCTTTGAACTGAAGGTCTTTCCGAAGCAGATCATCAACCACTTGCTCACTAAGACAGGCGTGCATCACATTGACTCCAGCCGATGACATTGAAACACCCCCTACCATCATCGAGTCTAAACCATGAAGGATTGCATTGCGAAATGGTACCAATGCGGTCAGACTAAGCTGCTCTAGGGACTCAGTAATGATTGGTACATCCGTCTGAGACCCGAGAAACTCCAAGTTACCATAGGAGGGGAAATGCTTGCCGCACGTCACGAGGCCTGCCTTCTGATAGCCTTTCATGAATTCGACGCCGTATTGTGATACTTCTTGTGGGTCGTCTCCTGTGGTGCGGACGCCTAAGGGTTGGTTGCGCACATTGGTGAGCACGTCGAGAACAGGACCCAAGATCCAGTTGACTCCTACGGCTTTGAGCTCTTGTGCCGTCGCCATCGCAACTTCATAGGCTAGGCTCTTGGACCCTGTCGCAGCGATACCCATCGCACTTGGGTATTGCCGGATGTAGATATCATCGTACAGGCTGTTTACTCCGCCATTTTCCTGATCCAGGGCGATTAGCAAAGGCACCGGATGGCCAGCATCCCGAGCGATTGTCTGCAGCTCAAGGACCAACCGTGTTGCATCTACTGCAGCTAGACGTATATCAGTGCGTATGTCTAAAGACGGGATTGGGAGGCCGAGGGAAAGAAGCCATCAGTGAAGGCCACAATGAAGACAGTGTAGAGGGGATGGGGCGTATGAGTACATTTGAGATTTTTTGCACAGAGCAGAACCGAACCGAGGTGGTAGTTCTCGATGAGTGAGCGAATCTGAGGACTGACCGATGTTCCATCGAAGCCCATCATGAAAAGTTGCCCCATCTGCCTGTCCAAGCGCCATTATGGATGACGCAACTGTCAGCAGTGAACTGCTTACCCACCTACTAAATGACTCGAGGAAGACTCTGCTATAAGAGGCGCATTCCTCGTCTGAAAACACACATGGAGAGACAGGAAGGCAAATCCAAGGGTCAAAGCAATGCAGCAG